CATGTATGTTGAACTTCTTATTTACATATTATGTGTGCAAAGCAGACAATGGGAGTCTTTGGAGTTAATGTGTCTGTCTGTGTGTGCATGCATGTGTGTCCACCTACTGATATCTCAAGAATGACTAATCATTATGCATTTTGATCACATTGTTTTCATATTGTACATCTCAAATAGCAGACAAATATTGTTTGGAAGGCTAATTAACATGTCTCTAATACTCTCAGTACACTGGAGTTTATTCTAAGCTTTCTTTGATTTGTATCTAATACCACTGCCACTAAAGTGTGTGTAGCATGGAAAGCAGCAGCCCTGGAACAGTATACATGTCTTGATCTATGTTGTGCCATCTTTGAGCGGCCATCTTTTTAAAAAAAATGTGGTATCTTTTACATGATTTGTCGGTTTCAAATTTGATACAAAGATTATGCATGTGAAAATATATGCCCATGATGATTCGTTTCATGTTTCATATCTCTGTACATGAGCCTGGACAAATGAAATTCAATTTGGATACAAAAAATACATGAATAGCATATCCTGTGTAATTTCTGACCATCTATATTCATTCACAGTCACTCTACTAGGACGGTTAGGAAGCGCTATTGTTAAACGGTGTGAATGAGCAGCTTCTGAGAACCTACGCTGGTCTCAAAACGTAATTGTCATCGGAGGGCGCTATTTTTCTCCCATTATTCATTGCGTTCGATGTTGCTCGAGACGACCGTGAATTTTTGAAATTGTGCTTTATTTTTACATCAAACTACAATCTCATCTGAACTATGACTAGGAGTGATATTGTATTTTACAGATGAGCGTACTTTTGCAATCTTGAAGATGCTTTACTCGAGAAAAATGGTGTTTTATTGACAGTCCCTTTGTCTCGATCTCTAACAGTCTTTCGGTCCGTAAAATAAACCCCTCGCTAAGTTTAAAAACAATTTTATCGCTAAAAACATTGATGTCTGCAAACCTTTACAATATTCCTTTGTCCATTCTCGCTATTTTTGTGTGTTTTTATAGTCACTTTATGGCGAAATTTTGCATGTTTGCGTCGTCTGTGGAGGTGGTCGCCATGTTGCTTTATTGCATGGTTTTCAATGGAAGTAATCGGACGAAAGAGATTTTTGATTGTTGTGTTTTCATATCCCTCCATTCGTTTTATTGGATGACTAATACAAATCCCGTTCAGCTGTATCGGTGCTACGAGTCATATTTAATTTCGTTTGAATATTTTTTTGTTATGACTTTGCTTTGTGACAATTTTATGAATGGTTTATTTCAGCATGTTCGCACTGCTTTTTGATTCAGTCGAGACAGATGCGAGACAGGGTAAAATACCCGGATGTTAATTTTTGTGTGGGAATTTTTTGGGTGATATACTAATGTAGTATTCTATTAACTATTTATAATTTCAGAATGCCATACAAGACAGCAAGATTTTCTCGGGGAAAAACGTGTATATACAAAGCATGTTTATTTCCGCGTTTGAGACTGCTCTTTAGTGAAAGGGTAAAGTGCCATGTATTGCAATGCTTTGTGGGGAAAAATGACGCAACTCTCGCACTGTCTCATGATTTATCGCGTGTTTTCCGTCGCTAATGCTATGCTAATGACTTCTTAGCTCGTTAACACCTCTTTTGTTTCAATGTTTATGGAGACAAGGGTAGTTACAATAGAACGACGCGGCGCTTCCTAATCGTCCTAGTAGAGTGACTGTGATTCATTGTATGAATCACAAACCCTTGCATGATCGTGTTAGGAAAAGCTGTATTTCACTGCAGTTGAATTGAGTCATTTGATTGGGCACGCCAAGGAGCTGGCGCCACCAATCAGCGTTGCTGTATCAGAAATGTGAACGTCTTGGGTCATCACAGATTAAAATATGGCGACATGTAGCCTTTGCGCTGATTCACTGGGAGTCAAGAACAGAAGGTCTATATTTGTTGACATGTTTCCAAAATTTTTTATTCCAACATTGAAAATTGTCTGTGGGCAAGTGGATGAAGCCTATGGAATGTTCAAATGTTTGTGCAAACCATGTTTTAGTAAACTGACAAAACTGTTAAAACTGATAACATATCGACTTGCTTGATCCGGTTTCGTTGCAAGAAACACATCATTTCCCTCAGATACAGCACTAAGCACTTTCTTTTGATGACCAATAAGCTCATTCACAGAGCAACAAGCTAACACGTTCATTTCTATATTCCAAAATTGTAATTTTCAATGTAAAGTATTGTGTCATTTCTATCATGAGTTCTGATTGGGTAATGCAAATGAGCCCAAGTGAATCTTATAATTATTTGAGGGCATGCGACATACAGTAAATTGTGGTGAAATCTGCCAAGGGTCAATGTTGAGGCTTATTACATCTTATTTCTGTTGATACTAGACCAGCCAATTATTCACTATGCTGTTGGTGCATATTACTTAAATATTTTTGGCATGAATAACATTTCCCCTAATTCCAACGGGGACTATAGCTTTAACAATGACTTGTTTCACTTCATTTCCTGATTTGTTAAAAATTAATGTTCAAGGCCAATGGTAAAGTACTCCATGATGTAGTGCAAGGTCTGATTATGGGCAATGTCATATTAAGATGTTGATACTTAGCTTTCTGCTCTATACGGATATAACACCAAATATTACTGAACATACATGTATCATGGAACAATGACACATTGCTATGCTTTAATGCCAGTTTTTTGTCTTTTTATGGTATTTCTATTTGAAAATTTGGAACATGTTCTTTCTCCTAAATTTTCATTATGAATATTTACTCATGCCCACACATTGAAATGCAATTTTTTTTATTCTGTAGCAAATGTTTGTAGCAGTATAGAAGTACCACACAATGGTAACAAGGTCCACACTACTTCAGTAAATGGTGAAGTTGGCTATATAATTGGTGACAAAGTACAGTTTTCATGTAATCCAGGGTTTGATCTAGTTGGTGAAAATGAAATAACCTGTGAAGAAGATTTACAATGGTCACATGATGTACCAACATGTAGAGGTAAATTTAGTGCAAATTTTGCAATATTCTTTTGAATTTCAACAAGCAAGTAACAAAATAACAATAAATACTCACCAAAAGTACAATGTATGTGGCTACTGACTGTTTTTACTCCGATAAGGGTTTTAGACAGGCACTTTTCATTTGTCAGCTACTAGTATAGCTAAGGGGTAGAACTCATTACTTGGGGGTATCATAGATTTTATATTAAAGTGCCTGTGAAATGGCTGCTATTTTCACGCCTAAAATTATCCATTGATACATAAATATTATTTTTTTATGTTTCTAAGCATGAATTATTTTTTTAAGCGAAAAAATGTGTTTTAAACTCAATCTACGGCAACTTTATTTTTGTGTATTTTAAAACGAGGCTCCTCATTAGCTTCTTATTTGCATACAGAAATTCCCCTTGTGACGTCAGAAGGGGAAGTCGAATGGCATCTTGCATTGCCGATACGTGTAAATAAGGCAAATGCAGTTTTCTCGTCTTTGACTAAATTTTCACTTATGAACTTGTTCGCCAAGGAGAAATGGACCATAATGAACACATAGTATCAATTTTTGTTGCATGGGGTTGAGTTAGATGCGAAATATGTTCGTTCTGGTGTAGCTGGTCACCGTGATCGTCAGCGGCGCACGTTTGTACACTGTCGCTGGACAAAATAGAATTTGACGTCGGAATTATCTCGTTAATTTAGCAGGTTACTAGGTACTTCACTAGACTTTTTTATTTCATCGATTGTCTGAGTAAAACTTTCAAAATTAAAATAAAAGAGAACATATTTTGACATTCTAAACATTAGACCATAGTGATCACTATAAAATAATT